GCATTGCGTATGCTAGGTTGCATTTTAGAGCATTGTGTATGCCATGTTACATCGAGCATTGTGTATGACATTTCATAGTATTGCGTATGCTAGGTTGTATGTTAGTCGCATTGTGTATGCCATCTCATTTACATCGTGTTTGGGATAGGAGTTAGCCCAAGCATGGGAAACGAGGTACGTTTCATACATCGAGTGACGGAACGTGTCTCAATTCCCAGTCGCCGGCGCTCCGGATTACCCATGATGGAGTTTAGGTCTTGTTGTGTTTTCATGTGCATTTATCTCACATCGAGTCGTGCAATTCGACTCCTCGGCCATCATGCATCGAGATGCGTGATTGGTGGCACGAGGATCGAGGACTACACTCCCTGAAGAGTAGTCATGCATACATATGTGAAAATACTTTGCCATGCCCCTTTCTTGCTCTCTGTTGCAGCAAATCAGAAATCAACAGCCTTTTGGAGCTTCGCATAGCATTCCGGGATTAAGTGTAAACAGAGGCGAATCGGGGAACAGAGCTAAGGCGGTCCATAGCTTGCATGCTAATTTATCCGCTTTCCTAGTTAAATGGTTAATTAATTAGGGTTTTGTACTTATCCGGACTGTAATTATTCATTCGGACTGTATTATTTATTCGAACCCTCTGAGCGAGGGCACAACTGTAATAAGTGTGTGTGCGTGTGATGTATGTCTTCCAACCCCACGTCTTTCTCCCTTTTATTTACCAGCTTATGATGGTTAGATTAGGGCATGTTTCAATTAGCATATTTATGCTTTCATGTTTGCATCATTCATCTGTTTTGCACGCACCGGGCTTGGCGCATCATACTAACTGCATTAGTATCTCAATTCCGAGTTGAATACTTGTTAGCTGTAGCATTTCACATGTCATTTTAGAATAGCCGAGCCTATTGTAGTTGCATTTTTGCATGTGTTGCATTAGGCATTTCTGTATAGTTAGGATCATGCATGGATTTCTAACATAGCTTCTGTTTTGGCTTGGAGTACTCGGTAAGTACTTATGCTTTAGCATCCTTGCATGCGTGTGAGTGACTGCCATGATAGCATGCTTGCCATGAGGCTAACTGCTTATGTGATATAACTGCCTGAATGCCTGTGGGTGAAGGTTGGGTTATTTGGATTGGAACAATTCATCAATTGTGAGTTTTAAGCCCACTTGAGTGGCAAATCATCATGTTTTCTAAGCCCACTTGAAGGTGGCAAATCCACATTTTAGCCTACTTGCGAGTAGCAAACCGTTTTTCGAAACAAACATGAAATGTTTTGTTCCAAGTCAGGTGATCCAGTCTATACTTGTATGTTGTGAGCATCACATAGTAAATCTAGGCTAATAACCGGAATAAGAACGCATAATGTTTTCAAAACTAGATATCATGGTTAGTAGAGGCCGATCTTTGGTCGGGCGAGCGGGGGTGCTCACGAAGTGACCTTTCCTAATCGTACCCAAGTTCCCGAGCCGAGGCAACTTTGGTGATGACGGACACGTGGCCTTAGGCAACGAGTCAGGGTTTCCTAAATTTCCAAAATAAAATATTTAGGTGGCGACTCTGTATCTAGCAAAGCAGTCTATGTTTGGCACTTCTTTCAGAAAATCTATTTTCAAAAACGATTTGCCGGATTTGGACTCTTTGATGATTCATCGGTCTTGCATTGCAGTTTGCGAGATTAGATACAGGACCGTGACTTTGAGTCCTGAACTGTAGTGAGCCCAAATGAACAGAACGGGACTCATCCTCCGGGGATGTTCGGGGACGTCTACAGTTTTTGGCGACTCTACTGGGGATTTAGAGAACTTGACTCGAACTCATGATATCTTGTTTTGATTACACTTATGTGTTTCTTTGCATTGCATTTGCATTGGCGCGCCTAGGACACCGTGTTTACTGTATGCTATTCTCGAACGGTTTGCCGGAGGCTCGCTTTGAGAAGCGTGCCATAAGGCTGACCGGTTGCGGGCTCTGCCACGACGGGAACACAAACCCCGATTTTACCGAGGCACCCTTTTTCTTTGACCATTCGACCTAGTGCATATTCGGAATCCATAGTGACCATTCCAAACTATGACAGATTGCTTACCCGTTTATAGGTTGTTTGAAACCGCTGCGTGCGTAGTGAAACCCTAGCTCCTGACAAAATAGGACAGGGAAACCTTCCCCCAACATAGGGGTGTTTTGGCTCTCACTTGTTTGTTATGTGCTTTTAGAGTGCGTCTCTATACGAATACATGTATCAGTTTACAAGTTTGGGCATCAGGCCTGCGGGCGCCAGTTCAGTATTTTGGGTATCAGACCTACAAGCACCAGTTCAGTATTTTCGGAATCAGTTATCTGCGGGTATCAGATTCAGCTTCAGGGATAGTGATTTGGGAATAATGATCAATCTTTGAGAACAGTGTATCAATTGCGTGTTAATTATACCCGACTGTGTGTTGCGTTTATTTACGCTGTTATGCTGTCCATTTGTCTGCTCGTTTATTTCCTTATTATTGCTTTATTTATCTTTTTGCTAGGTAGTTTAGCACAATTGCTTTAGACCAAGCAGATATTCCCCAAGCACTCTGGACAAGAGGTCGCTGACTTAATCGATCTGAGGATCTGGTCGACGGACAACCAGTGTTCCACTCTCTACCCTCGGTTATCAAACGGAGGTCGAGAAGACGCAGTGTATCCGAGCAGAGGTTGCTAGAGCAGTGGATTACCCCATCAGTGGACAGTCGGACTGAGATCTCAATTGTTGCTATAGAGATAGACCTGCCAGTAGTTCAGACAGATAAGGGAGTATGGCGGTACCAATAGGAGTTGAAGAAATGATGCGCCAAATGCAGGAGACCATGAGAGCTATGCAGCAGGACGCTGTTCACCGGGATGAGTTTACCAAACAACAAGCCGAGATCATGGCCTAGCAGGCAGAATTAATTGCCAGGTTGCAACAACAAACTAGGGCATCTACTTCACACCCAGCTCCTCCCCCACCAGGAATTCCGGCACCCGGGGAGGCACCAAATGCCCAGGGAGATACGGACATCCCGACGGGTCCGGCTCCCCCCCCCTGATTCTACCATAGTTATCCAAGGCACCTATGCCTATCAATCAACCAGATTCTCCCTTTGAGTTCGAGGTAGACCATACAACATTGAAATTGAGCAAGCTTGAGAAGTTGTTCAAGAAGTCCCAAGGGGTGAAGTCCATTCCAGACATCGAGGACGGATATACCGATGTGGCTGTGACGCTGCCAGATAGGTTCAAGATGCCACAAATCGACTGCTTTGACGAATCTGGGGATCCCATGGTCCATCTTCGTTTGTTCTCAGATATACTGCGACCGATGGGCCTCACCAGACCACAGAAGCTTTCACTATTCGGCCGGACCTTGTCAGGTGTGGCCGCTATCTGGTATGCAAAATTAGAAGATGATGTTAAGCGGAACTGGGACGAGATGGCCGAGGCTTTCATTGCACAGTACTCCTATAACACTCAGATCAAGATTACAACCCGTGATCTTGAGACAACAAGGCAGGAGCCTAAGGAGAGCTTTTCGGATTTTGTGGCCCGGTGGAGGGCAAAGGCCTCAATGATGACCTTAAGGCCTACAGATAAAGATCAAATCCGGATGATTGTGCGCAACCTCCAGCCAAAACTGATGCAGAAAATGATTGTGCTCCCCTTTCCTACCTTTTTAGATTTGCACGAGATGGGGGTACAAATAGAGGATGCTATGAAACAAGGTCTGATTGAACAAGATAGAGAGCAACCCCGAAGAACCTTCAACCGCAACAACAACACAGGCACCAGCAATGCCGCAAATGCTAGGGCTTCAGAAGTAAGCATGGTCACCACCATTCCCCCTCCAAGACCCATGGCAGCTACACCTTTCTCCGGCACATCCGGAAGCAACACACAAACCACCAAATTCCAACCCAGAGGCCAAAGAACCTTCACGCCTTTATACATGCCCCTGTCCAAGGCTCTAGGGGTATTAATCAGAAAAGGGCACTTAAAGCCCCTGGAGCCGAGGCCATTGCCAAATCCACTCCCTTCCACTCATAACCCAACAAAATACTGCGCATATCACCAACAACATGGTCACGACACTGACCAATGTTTCAGATTGCGTCATGAGATTCAAGATCTCATTGACAAGCAGGTGATTGTGCCTCCAGAAAAACCCAATGTCACAACAAACCCTCTCCCACCGCACAACCAAGCTCCACCTCCCAAAAGAATCAACTTTATCCAGACTGGGGTCGTGTCTTACGATCCCAGCATATATATTACCCCAACTCACCTACCCAAGCCGGAGGTGCTCCTTCCTGACTGCACTGACTTGTGCATGTTGGACATCTCCAGAGCCCAACCCGAACCATTGGTGGTGGTTGTCGAAGACAGAACACGGGAGATTCCAAAGAAGAATGGGATTGTCGAGCCAGGATCTGAGGAATCTAAGAGTTTTTTTTATACAGTCCGAGTGACTACATCCTATCAGTGGGCCAGGTTGGGCCGAACTTTGAATTGCCGGTGGGGGTAGAGCTTTGTATGATACAAGGGGATGAATCTGGTTAGAGGATAGATGACCTGGCAGCTATAGAAGAGGACTTTGCTAACCTCCAATTTTTCAATGAACAAGAGCTAGAGGGCATGGTAGTCAACTGGTCAGATTTTGAGGAGTCAGCAGAGGTCACCGGGTGGCTTGATGACCTGCCAGACGTTGTTGACGAAGCTCAGTTGGAACAGGGCCCGGCAGGGGCAAGAATATCAGTGGTGGCCGGAAAGGCCGAAAATCAAAATGAGTCACCGGAGAGCGCCGGTGCTAAGAATTTCGCTCAAGACTTGGGCATTGTGAATGCGGGAATTGTTGAATAGCCAGCTGTACTGACGCAGTTGGAACAAGAAAGGTTTGAGGATTCTGAGAGAATCAGGAAAGCTAAGGGCCTTGAGGGGACTGAAAGTGCTGTGTGCACGAGGATAGAGAATGCTGCGAGCATGTGGACGGAGAGCACTGCAGGTGTAATTGTACTAGAGCCAGACAGGTATCGATTGGATGCCGACGGGATGTGGTGGGAAGACGATGATTTATGTCTTTTCCACACGGATGAGGATTGGGGGAGCAATCAGCCAGATGATACCTAGTATATCGGCGAAGTCGATCATATGACTAGGAGCGGGCGGTATTTCAAACCCCCGCACCTAGACCAGCCAGAGGCATCTGGAAAAGATAAGAAGGCAGAGAAGCAGAAAAAGAAACAACTCAAAGAAGAGGCCGTACTGAAGCAGTTGAAAAAGATACAGCCAAACATCTCCATCTAGGGACTGCTTATGGCATCACAAGTGCATCGACAAGCTGTCTTATCGGCCATGGACAAGGCCAAGCTCTCAATAGACACCACGCCCGAGCAGCTGGTGGGCTTAGTTTTTCTGGGAGGAGCTACCCCGATGTTGACCTTTTCTGACAAAGAACTGCCACCTGAGGGTGTGAACCATAACAAGCCACTCTACATCTCTATGGAGTGCAGAAACAAATGGATACCCGTGGTACTTGTCGACACAGGATCCGCCATCAATGTGTGCCCAGCAAGGACTGCATATACAATCAGTTTGAAGACCGCGGACTTTGTGCCAACAGCCTAGGTGATTCGGGCATATGACAACATAAGCCGAGAAGTCATGGGAACAGTGAAAATCCATACCAAGGTCGGGCTGGGACAGCATGAAATAGACTTCCATGTCTTAGAAGTCCCTGCAACTTTCAATATGCTTTTGGGACGGCCGTGGTTGCATCAAATGAAGGCAGTTTCTTCTACCTTGCATCAGATGGTGAAATACCCCCATGGAAAGGGAGTAGCCATTATTTTTGGGAATTCATCGATCCATCCACCACCGGAAGTATCTACGCCAATTTTGGAAATTGAGCACGGTATGGAGGATGTGTTCTTATCCGGTTTTACCCTAGCTGAGGCCCGGGTCGTGCAGAAGATCTTAGCTGTTAACGAGGGGGTGTATGTCAGTGCTCAATCAGTATACCTCATGAACAAGTTTCAACACATCCCTGGGATGGTATTGGGAAAGAGCGGCCGGAAGGGCGTCGTAGCATTGGCCGAGGTGCCACACAACCCACATACCTTTGGCTTGGGTTATTTGCTCACCAAAGAGGATTGGATAAGGAAGGGTAAGGAGATGGCTGGAGGAGCCAGAGCGAAGAAGGTGGAGAAGCCTTTTGACTTAATGCACCGGCCCATTCAGGGTACCCTAAACAGACGCTTCGTCCGGGAGACTTGATTAGCATAAGTGTTGATCTTGGGTTAGTAACAGACATTCTAAAAGCTCTCTCTGGTATCACCAATATGCCCAATATTTACTTCTCTCTATATTGTATGTATGTAAGATAAGCTAGAAAAATGGTGGCCTCAGGAGAAAGTTTGAAAAAGTTGTGATTTATTTTTAGGTACATGCACTACTAATAGACTATAATAAAATGGTCCCCAAATCCCAGACAGCACTGCTGTTTGCAGTTTGCACAGAAAAATGCTGCTATCTCAGCAAAATGAAAATTGTTATACATGGACCAGGAACACTGCTTCTCTCCTATATACATGTAGGACTGTTTCTCTCCCTGCTCTATCTTCTATTGATAAGGCATAAAAGTGTTTTTTGCATCAATGTTCTCCATCGTTATTAGTATTATACTATCATTATTTACAATTTTTGATTTATGTGGAGTTTGAATTCTAGGTCTGGTTGAATATAACAGATCATTATTACTACTAATTTAATATAGGTTCCCAGGTTAGTGATCTTAAATACATCTTACTTTGCAACATGTAAACTCATTCATAGTTTTTGTTGCATGAGAAAGAGTAGAGAGTAGAATATTTATTATTATAATGTATTTAAATGATGGTCTTCCCATTTGAGCTTTAACTTCTTCATTTGGTGAATTCTTAATATTTATTTTGGATTGAATCTCTTTCCTCCTGATGAGAGATGAATCTACATTACTTGAATGTTTGAAAATAATCAGACATGGCAAGACACTGCAATTTTGCTTGAGAAAGGAAGAGATAGTATTACTACAACATTGGAATGTTCATGGGTACTTCTTTAAATATGTTTTCCCCCACTTTAATTGAAGATTTGAAAATAACTGCACTAGCCACTAGATATGTGCCTTAAACATTGCTCTTGAAATACTAAGGTTTGCTAAAAAGAAAACTATAAATTCTTTGAGAATTGGGTTATGTTCTTATTTGTAAAGATTAGGTCTTACCATATATGACACCTGTAGACACATTCACATTGAATGTGTTTATTATCAGCCATGTAGCAAGGAAAGCGGAAAAGCATGTGCAAAAATATACTTCTCTTAAATTTCTAGATACCAACTTATTTCCTTTGTCAGCTAAGACTTGCTGCATCTCGAGAAGGAAAGATTCTTTTAAAAATCTTTGCTTTCTTTGCTATTTTAATTTCTACTTTAGAATCAGGAAATAGGTTTCTTTACTTAGCTGTGTAATTAGAAGAAGGCTGAGAACATGAATGTCAACTGCACCTTGATCCACGTGGAATGTGATACAACAAATAGAGGAAATCCAAGGTGAAATGGGTTGAGGTGGCAAAAAATGTGATTGCCTTAAATATGATAATTTACTTCAAATAGAACCATTGGAGGAAATGGATCCTTGTGGCTATGTAATTAGGTGTTGTGAACAATTTGCAATTGAGAGATAACTGTGCTGAATATAGAATGTTGGTGCTTCATTTTTAAATGTTCTCTTCTATAAGTTGCATGACATTAATGAACTACCCCTTGCGGTGTCTAGTTAATAATTGACTTTGTCTTCTTTATTTATTTATTTTTTGAGAAACACCGAATAATATAGAATGTTGGTGCTTCATTTTTAAATGTTCTCTTCTATAAGTTGCATGACATTAATGAACTACCCCTTGCGGTGTCTAGTTAATAATTGACTTTGTTTAATTCATGAATCCTTTTATTGTAAACATATGATATGACAACTACCTGCATTCCTTTGAGGCCGACTTTTAAAAAAAAAATGCAAGTTCTTCAGTCCGCTTGCGTGTTGTTATCCAAGTCTTATACCTAATATTGTTGGTAATGTATCTAATATGCATACTCCCAAGTATGTTCACCTAGTTGTTTGTCTGGTTTATTTTATCTTTTGACAAGAGCTGTTCCTACAAGTGGAATTTATTGTCCTCTTATATCAGCTATGTCTGCAGAATCTAGTAAGTTATGTTCTGTTTAGGCTTTTCTGGTTTCTTCCTGAATGGTGAAGCACCATCCTCTCTCTCTCTCTCTCTCTCCCATGCTTGTGTTTTGAGGTTCTTTCTGTTGAATTCTGTACCATACTTGCAGATGATTGAATCAATGATATTGTAAAGCTATTCCCCAACTCTTGAGATCTGAAAATTATAAATTAAGAAGAAGCATAATTTACAGATTGAGGATTCTTCTCTTGCTAGTTAATTTGTCGTCGAGGTGTCAAATAATTTCTTACTGTAGGAATTTTAAATATTTGATATTTGGTTTATTGAGGCTATGGACAAAAGGTGTAGGCTGTACTATGCAATCTTTTGATCTATGCTTTACAGATTTTTCTTTGTGTAGATTTCAAGCCACCTCCTGGTCAGAAAAATTTAAGCAACATGAGAAAAAAAAATTATAGGTTGTGGGATGAAACTTCCTTGATTTGTCTTCTTTATTTATTTATTTTTTGAGAAACACCGAATAAATAGAGATATAAGCTTGTTCAATGGTTTGAAATTATGTGCCTTAGATATGTTTTAATTAACCAATGTATTTTTTATTTGCTATTTTAGTTACTTTAGCATCTTGCCTTTCTCAATTCCTCTATGTTTTTACCAGATTTCCTGATGATAGAACATATTCTAGCATGAGCATACAGCAAATAGACAACAGTATTTCCTTGCTCATCAATAAGTTTAGACAAGTAAGAAATGAATGGAATAGTCACAGTAACAATGGTCAAATAGTAATTGACTACCCAAGTGTTTAGTGTTCAATGAGTTAATTTGCTTATTTGTTTATTTTATTTACTTAACTTGTTCACATATTTAATTGCTTAATTATTTAATTTTCTTATTTATCTTAAGATTTTGGTTGCCTTTCATTTATAGGAGACAAAAAAGAACAATGGGATTCCTGCTAGTCGGTCACAGGTGTGGATGGCCGCATACATGAAAGATGGGACGTCAAATAGTGATTCAGTTAATGAGGTTATGGTATGTGATACTACTTTATCTTTGGACTTTTAATATGATTTATATTTATATTGGAGGCTAATTATTGAATTCAAACTTGCAGACTCAAATGAATGAGTTAACAGAGCACATGGAGGGATCTTCTACTGACCCTGCAGCATTACAGGAGCAAATCTTCACACAAGTTATGGGCCCAGAGCGGCCTGGCCGTGTTCAGATGTTTGGATTGGGACCGTCACCCACTGATGTTTTTGGAGGTGGATATAGGCGGTCACAAGAGCAGAATCGTCTCTTCCAAACTCAAGTTCAGGAACAAGTTCAAGAGCAACTTCATCGGTATCAAATGCAGTTTGAGTCGAAGATGAATGAAGTAATGGAGAAACAAATTCAGGCTATACGCACAGATTTTCAGTCACGAATTCAGTTTTTGGAATCTCAATTGCAAGCTGCAGGCGTGCCCGTTGATCCAGTTGTTGCACCATCAAACCCATTACATAGGCAACAGGTATTTTAATTATTTTTACTAGTTATTACTTTAAATTGCCTAGAGTTAATATACAACTTAAGTCTCTTATTGAATGATAGGTTGTGGATTCACTTAGTAGTCATCCCACTGTTCGGCCAATGTCACATCAACAACAATCTCATGCATTTTCATCCCAAGAGATGAGCAATCATTTAATCAAAAGCTTTTTTGACAAATAACATATCTTATTAATTACAATACTTGCTCTTATTAAATATAGGTTCACCTTTCAAAAAAAAGAGAAGAAGAATAAGAAGAAGAAAAAGAACTAACAAGGTAAAAATGTAGATTTTTACTTATTAATCTATCCTCTAAACTTTAAAAATTAGTGCTATGTTTTATTTTTATTATTTTTTATTAAGTATTCATATGTATAACATAATAAATATATTAAACTATATACTTTGCGCCCCCCCATGTGTCATGAAAATTGTTGCGGATCTTCAATTTGGTGGGGGGTTTGTGGAGGGGGAAAAGTAATTAATTGAGAATTTACTGTAGAGGACTCTAAACTTTCGCAGCACTCTTGTCTTGAAAGTCCTTAGTTGCAGGGGACTATGATTCAACTGCACTCTTGTCTTGGAATTGTCATCACCCCCTTGTATTAAGTAGATGTAATAACATCCAAAGAACTTGAAAGGCCGGCAATGAACTTGATTTCCCTCTTGATTGTAAAGTATGCTATGTATTGTTTTGAAAGAAATCTTGGATATCAATCATGCAAACCTTTATTTCTAATATCATTCACTGAGTATCCAAGCTCACCCTCTCTATATATATATGTAGGTGATGAACAAGAAGGCATTGAGGCCTAGACGTGAATGCCGATGTGTTTTGGGCGCATAGCCGACATGTTTTGGATTTGTGTTTTGCATCGTCTTGAAGATCATGCTTCTCGGCTTATTTTTCATTTGCACTTGTATATGTCGGCTTGAGAAGCCTTTTGGTCAAGATATGTTTTGTATTTCATTTCATCCTTGTATTTAAGTTGTAAGACTTGTAAAGATGTTTGATGTATGCCATTCTACTGGACTTGTGCACAGCTCTCATGAACTATTCAGATTTTGTATACGTATATATATTGCTTCCGCACTTGTAAGCCCCATATTTTATACTCGGATTGTGTGTGATTTTTGTAAGACGGCCTTCGGTAACCTCGGGTTACTGGCCATCACGGCACCAAACTACTAGGGGCGGTTTGGGGGCGTGACACCTAATGAGTTTGCAATCTCTCTCATCTTTGAGTTGAAGATCTACTTAGACGTAAGTGATCTTCTATTAGAGCAATCGATGTACCTAAGACTGCTGTTTACAATGTGTGTAGGGTGTTTGGAATTATTTTATTTTATTTTTTTGAAATATTTTTTGTTGACTTATTTTCGTGTGAACTTGTTTTAAAATTTTTCAAAAGTATTTAGGCTTCTGATTCTACTCAAATGAGACGAATCCAAAAATTAAAAAAAAAAATTTGAAAGCAATTCATAAAAGTTAAAAGCGAGTTTTTAAGCTTATCTTGGCATTTTAATCTTTATTTGGAATTTTTCAAAAATGTTTTACTTTTTAAATTCGTCTACATTGACATAATTTACATAAAAAAAAAGTCACTAAAAGTAAAAATACTCGAAAAAAGATGTCACCTTTTTATTTATTTGTTCCCAAACAAATTAAATCCCTTCTTCAATTTTTTCTTTTTTTGGCAGATACTATATGAGATCGGAGCCAGACAATTCATCGTGAACAACATAGGTCCTCTTGGGTGTTTGCCATCTCTTAGATACAAGACTACTTCTGGGCAGTGCAATGAAGACATGAACAATCTTATCATGCCATACAACTATCGGCTTCCTAAGTGGCTTAAAACTTGGACTCATTATGATTACAGTGGTAGTGGTATTACCTTTGTCTTGGCAGATAGCTATGGTCTTCTTAATCATATGGTCTACCACCCTCAAGAATTTGGTAATATAATTTATTTATATATTTAATTTGTTACGGTTTTGGAGTCAGAAAAATGTACACAGTTTGTTCATTATATTTTTCTTCTGTTGTTGTTGTTGTAGGGTTTAAAGATGTAAAACACCCATGTTGCGGACAGGATGTAAATGGGGAATTAGAGTGCCCCCCCAACGCCACTCCGTGTAGCAACAGAGATGAATATCTCTTCTTTGATGGTGCACATACCAGCCAAGTGGCCAATCTTGAATTCGCTCTATTATGCGCCAATGCAACAATCTGCAGAGTTATTGAATAAACATGTTTATGAAGTGTTTGGGATGAAAAAGAAGATCACTTTTTTGTTGAAGTTATGGGGACAACAATTAATTGAATAGTGAAATATTTAGTATTTTTTTAGGGTTGTGAACATTTCTTATCTTTTCTATACCATTTATCTTTTTGGGCAATTACCATTATGTAGTTTTTAGAAAAAATTATTTACAGATGTGTTTGGTTTTCTGCTTCATAGAGTATATATAATTTCCTATGGATGAGTAAGATGGATAATTGCATTTACTAATCAAAAAAATAATGTTATATACAAATAAATTTCTTGTTTTTGTAATTTCTAAACACAAAGTTAATGAAACTCACATGTAACGCCCTCAAAATAATAAAAGAAAATAATATTAAAAAATCTATTTATATGTAGTATTTTCTACAAGTATTGGGTAGGCCTTGAGGGTTTCCAGATAGTGTGGTCCTTTGGCCACCAACTAACTATTAACCTTACTAGATATGTGTATTTTTTGTATAAATATATTATTATACTATAATATTTTAATATTAAATTATTTTTATATAAAAGAATTGTGGGTGAAAGCGAATGGTGAAGAATAAGAAAAATTAATGGTGAAGGAAATATCATACTATTTAAAGTACTGCACTAAATTAGGTAGGACAAGAGGAGGGCAAACCAGTTTTTTTTTTTTCTTCAAGATAATCTCAATACCAAGTCTTCCATCCATGTGATTCAGAGGGTTTGTTTGTCACAATTTATAAGAGTTGATTATAACTTATTTTAATTTAAAAATTTGTACCAAATTATTTGGTATTGTTTTTGTTTATAACTTTTTAGGCAGAAATAAGTTAAATAAATTGAAAAAGTTTGATTATATAAAACTTAGGAGAGGAGTATTTTTTATTTCTACTTTAGATACATTAGTATGTATTTGTTTCGTCTTTGAATTTTTTTGTTTTTTTTTTTCACATTCCTATTTGATTAGGTGTAACAATTCCTTCATTAGGTCCCTTGTTCTTGTCAATACCGCGAACAACTTTGTTAATCGAGTTGTAAAATTTCCTTATTGTTTTGTCTTCTTCACTCGAGCGAAGGAGTCCTCGCTCGAGCGAAGGACTGCGTCTGGCAAAAACTTGAAAGAGATGAATGTGCACTCGAGCGAAGCCTGCGTGGCTCGAGCGAAGAACTGCGTCTGCATCAAAACCTGAAAGAGTTGATTGCTCGCTCGAGCGAAGGTTTTGTGGCTCGAGCGAAGGCACTTATGGAAATCACGGTAGTTAAGGTTCTCGCTCGAGCGAGAGAAGCGAGCTTCAAAATCCTGGATTTCTATAAGTAGTTGTTTCTCTCCAAAACTAGGATTAACTTTTTAGATCTACTTTGAGGTTTTCTAAGGTTTTCTTCTGGAGAGTTTTTTGTGAGTTTTCCTTGATAAAATTGAATGAGTATTAAACTCATGAATTGATAAACACATATCAAGAAGGTTGATCGAATACATACAAGAGTGTTATTCTTCGGTGGATTCCGAAGATTCAAACGTAGAGTTTCAAAGGCGTTTGATTCTGTACGTAGTCATTGATTCGACAAGTGAAGTTGTGGATTCAACTTCAGGTTGATCAGTTCCGAGACGAAGGCTTGGTGAAAGAGTAACAGAAAGTTTGAAGACAAATTGACTGAGTTGGGTAATTTGTGTGTTATCTTTGTAATCTTTCTTTCTTCAGTAGTGGATTGATTAGTGGCGTTTCGCCCGTGATTTTTTATTACAATTGAAAGTTCTTCAATTGTGGTTTTTCCACATAAAAATCGTTTGTGTCGATTTATTGTTTATTCCGAAAACAACAATCTAAATCACTTTCGTAAGTGCTTGATGATTTAGATTGTGTGTTTTGAATATTTGGGAATTGGAATATTTTAATCATAATCTAATCACGAATCACTTAGGATTTTCAATTGGTATCAGAACAGGTCACTCTTTGTTTTTATCAAAACTATAGGAGTGTGATTTTGTGTGACTAGTGATATGGATTCTATTCATGAAGGTAACTCGACCCATAGACCTCCTTTACTCGATGGTACAAACTATTCTTATTGGAAAGCTCATATGAGAGCGTTTTTAAAATCCATCAATGAGAAAGTTTGGCACTGCGTGATCTATGGGTGGAGTGAACTTATTGTCGCCATTGAAGGTGTTGATATTCCTAAACCCCTTGATAAATGGGACACAACTGATTACCAAAACTCGAGTTGGAAAAGTAAGGCTCTCAATTTCCTGTTTTGCTCCGTCACACCTGAAGAGTTTCGTCGTATCTGCACATGTGAGGTAGCAAAAGAGGCTTGGGACATTCTTGAAACGATTCACGAAGGTACTACTTCTGTTAAAAGGTCAAAACTTCAACGTCTCACCTCTGCCTTTGAAACCCTTTTTATGTGTGATGATGAGACGTTTGATGATTTCTATGCAAAATTTAGTGATATCGTGAATTCCTGTTTCACACTCGGTGAAAAAATCCCTGAAGCTAAAGTTGTTGGAAAATTTTTGAGGTCTTTAACCGAGAGGTTCCAATCAAAAGTGACAGCCATTGAGGAGGCTTAGAATGTTGATACCCTCAAGCTTGATCAGTTAGTTGGAAACTTGCAGACTTATGAAGCCTACCAGATTTCAAAGAAAAAACAAAAAAATAGTGTGGCTTTCACTAATGCTCATGAGACTGCAAAAACTCCGGAGACTAAATTTGATTTAGAGTCTGAGATGACGGCTATGTTTACTAAACAGTTTTAAAAAAAAATTGAAGAAAAAGAAGCCTAATTTCAAAGACCCTATTTCAAAAGACAAGAGTAATGAAAAACTCAAAACTTTTCCACCAAAACTTGCTCCAAAAACTGAAAAAAAAGATTGTAAAAGGGCAAGGGATCAAGTGCTATGAATGTCAAGGGTTCGGTCATATTGCCCTTGAATGCCCTTCGAAAAAGAATCAAAAGAAAGTCTACACTGTGACTTGGGATGATGAAAGCGAGTCGGAACAAAAACCTGAAGAACCTAAATCCGATGAAGACGGGGATAGTGCTTTCATGGCATTTTGGTCCACTTTTACTCAACCTCTTCCAAAGCCAGCAGAATTAGCTCGTGGTCAGAACCTGCATCATGCTCCCACCTTTGATGGGAGTAACTACCTGTATTGAAAGATCAGAATGAGGGTGTTTTTGAGAATTTTAAACCCAGAAGGCTGGCAAGCCATTAAAAAAGATACAGAAAGTGCTGACAATCCGAGCAATAAGAGAGCCCTGATTACTATTCGTGGAGCAATATCTGATGAAGAACAACAACGGGTTGCTTACTGCACAAAGGCTAAAGATGCATAGGAAATTCTGAGCCAATTTCATGAAAGAGGAGATTCACCTTCTCCACCATCTAACAACTTTTCTGCCTTCGTTGCTAGATTGGATGAGGTCAAGGAGAATGAAGGGCAAAAAAAGGATGATGAAACATCAGAAGACAATGATGAGATTAATGGTGATGAACTACAACAAGCTTACGAAAAGCTTTACAAGGAATCTTTGAATTTGTCCAAAATCAACGACAAACTCTCTCTCAAGCTCAAAGCATGTGAAAGTGAGAATGTCAAGCTAAAAGGAGAACTTGTAGTAGCAAAACAGAATGTCATCAAGATCTTAAGTGACATGCAAGACTTATGTGGAAAACTTCTATCCTGTGAAACTGAAAGGAATGAACTTCTGAAAGTGTATTCCACATATGAAGAGAAGCTTGAAAGCCTTGAGATGTCACAAGTTACATTGGAAGAGATAGTCTGTCAGAAAGATGAAGAACTCCGTATTGCTAGAGCCACAATTACCATGTGGAACAAAGGTTCCAAATCCCTAGAAGACATCCTCGGGTCTCAACAAATGGGTTGTGACAAAAGTGGGCTAGGTTATGGTGCGACAGCTCACAAGGGACAGGCCTCTACTTCACATGACCTGAAGACTCAAGCAAATGGAAAGTTGAAGGCAGACCAGGGTGATCCCTCTCTTCATCTACCTAAAGTTGGTAAGATCAACAAAAAGGAGGTAAAACCTGTTTTTATTTGTCATCACTGTGGTAGGTATGGCCACATTCGTCCTTGTTGCTTTGAATTGTTTGGTAAGGTGTCTCAAAAGGGTAGAACTTCGAATACTTTTTGGGTTAGAAGACAACCTTACATGTCTAGGCGAAATACCAATATTCATGAGGGTGTTCACAACGCCAAGACATTTACCAAGACCACTAGACCTGATTTTGTTAAGATCAAAAAGATTTGGGTGAGAAAAGATGATTTGACTTGTTTAGTTGTTCACACTGCTCTAAAAGCACATGACTCACACATGTGGTATCTTAATAGTGGGTGCTCTTGTCACATGTCTGGTAACAAATCCTACTTCACCTCCCTTGAAAAATATGAAGGAGGAATTGTTACCTTTGGAGATGGCGGTACTTCTAGAGTCATTGGTAAGGGCTCTATAAGTGTTGCTGGTCTTCCCAAGCTTGAAAATGCCTTACTTGTTGATGGTCTTAAAGCAAATCTTTTGAGCATTAGTCAAATGTGTGATTCCCATCATGAAGTATTGTTTTCAAAAAATAAATGTGAAATTTTGGATAAAAAGGGAAATACTGTCTTGTATGGGGTTCGCACATCTGATAACTATTATGAGATTGTTACCACTAATGATCTCACTTGTCATTTTGCCATCATAAGTAACATTGATTTGTGGCATCAAAGATTAGGTCACATGAATTTCAAAGACCTAACTAAGATAGCCAACAAAGAGCTTATGAGAGGAGTACCTAAACTGGGTAAGAATCTGAACCGTGTGTGTGAACCATGTCAACTTGGGAAAGAAACCCGTGCCCCTCATAAAAAAGTGAACAGCTTTGCAACCAAACGTCCTCTTGAATTGGTTCACATGGATTTAATGGGTCCTACTCACACTAAAAGCATTGGAGGTAAAAGATATATTTTTTTAACTGTTGATAATTTTACTCGATTTTCGTAGATAAATTTTTTAAGGGAAAAATCTGATACGTTTGATGCTTTCCAGTCCTTAGTCCTTAAAATCCAAAATGAACACGGTGTTTCCATTAGGCGTATCATAAGAATCTGAACTGATCATGGTCGTGAATTTGAAAACAGTTCGTTTTCAGATTTTTGTGATATGTATGGAATCAAGCATGAATTTTCTACACCTATTACACCACAACAA